CTCTATAAATTAATTACTAAGAGTTATAGGGAATGTGCTCCTTCTTTTATTAAATCTTGTTGAACTTACCATGTAAATAATTTTGTTTTAAAAACAATAGAAGATCAGGAGCAATGGTTTGTATGATGTATGCACAGTAATATTCCATTCCAACTCTTTCATTTTACTGAAAACCATCTCATTCATCCCCCCCCCCATTCTTATCAATATCTATTAGATGCCAAGTTTCTAGTATTGCAAGCTTTAGATTACTGAAAGCATGTCAGTTTTGATGTGCAAATCCTATAATTCTTTACCTGGTGTGTACTTATAGAATCTTTGGAGCTTTTGCTGCTTCAGACTGCAGAACCCATTCTGTGAAGCGTTAATTCTAAGAAGTTACTATCTCAGCCTGCATAGCCGATGCCCTTCTCAATGTACGAATCCAAATTAAACATCCTCAACAGAAAGCTATCTAGACTCTGCATTCCTTGGCACTTGGTTCCACTGTTAAACTTTTCCTACTGCTGAAAAGTTTTTCCTAACATTCAAATCAGCCTCCCTTTAGCTTAATTTATATGATTTATTTAATAGCAATATTAAATAGATCATTCCAATCTAAAATTCTGGGCAGTTCACAATGAAAAAAAAAATAAAATCTCAAAACACTCCCTACAGTCTACCTAAACATATTGTATTCAGTTAGAAAAGAGATAGAGTAGCGCAACCCTCAAAATTAAGCCCAGAATATTGAGTGGAACCGTTCAGTTTGGACAACCTTTCACAAGATATCCATCATGGATGTAACCTGAAATTTAGGGCAGGGACAGCCATTTGAAAGGCCTGGACCATCTCCCCTCTAACTTCTTAAGCAACCTTTCTTGACTAGATCACAGGGCAGGCAGATTCAGTTCAAAGGAGATAGTTGTGCAAATATCCAGGGATCAAGCCATCAAAGGCTTGAACAGTAGCAGCCAGTGCAAAATCTTGTTCTGTACTACCTGCAGTTTCCCACTAGTCTTCAAAGGCAGCCCCAAGTAAAGAGTGTTACACACATAATTTGTGACACCCTTTCAGAAATTTGAAGAGTACTATCTAGTACTCTTCAATCTAGTACTCTAGATTGTAACTCTTCTACAATCTAGAAGAGTTGTCTGAATCAGCGTTTCTCAACCTCAGCAATTTTAAGATGTGTGGACTTCAGTTCCCAGAATTCCATTCTCTCCTGATATGACTTATTTAGTTCCCAGTCCTCTGATCATCCCCACTGTTCTCCTTTACACCTGTTCCTGTTTCTCTTCACCTTTATTAAAATGTAATAGCCCACATTTTTCCTTACTACATTTAATTCTTCTATTTTCAGAGTACTGGATTCAGAACTAAGCCTTCTGTTACTGCTTGTTTGTAGATTTCAAAAATCGGTTCTAGATTGGTATCAGCCTTCTCCACCCTTGATGCTTTCTGAATTGTCCAGGAATTCAGTCTTGCAATTCTAGAACTTGCCCAGCATATGTACTGTAATTGTAATGGCTCATTCTGGGTGTGGATAGATTTAACTTGTATTTTGACAGTAATAGCAGGTGGCTGCCATTCAAAATCATGAGAATTCATGCCATGGATCCATTTTGGAATGTGCCATTTTTCTGCCACAGACCTGCCAGAAGCCATCAGATCATAATTTTAACTGCTCCCTCTGCGCAAGCAGACGTGATCCGAGTTTTGAATGTGGTTTCAGATTGATTCCACAGAAAATCGTGAAGATCTATACCTAGGATCCATGTACCATGGCAGCACCAAAAATAAATCTATAAATAATAATGTTCATATTCCATAACTTTGCAAACAAATATGGTCTGCCTTTGATAGTAACTGCCATTGGATCCCACATAAAATGCAAAAAGGTTGCATCAAAATCCGTGCCCTGATTCTGGTTCTACTTTTTATCTCAGAGCAGCTCTCAGGAGTGCTAGAACTATGATTGTAAAGGTTCGTTGGGTGATTCTTTGCAAATTGGATGTGATTTGCAAACTGATGACGTCTTTAGGCAGCCCCCATATAAAAATCATGGGAGATACGTGCATTTTTTAAACCCTAACATTTCCTTTCTGCCAACCGTTTATTGCTTTGCCGCAACCGCGCATTCGTCCTCACAAAATGCTGCTGTTTTAACGTCCGTCGCATTCGGAACGAAAAGGTTTGGAAAACAGGGCACGTGCTAGGACCCAGCGGCCACAGCAGTCTGCAAGGGAACGGGGTGGAGCCTTACAGCTCCCAGCGCTGCGTGTGCAATTGCGTCATTGCCAGAAAATGGAAAGTAGGCGGGCGTATCTGCTAGGGAGAAAAGGGGCTTTACCGAAAGTGGAATCCTTTGGGCTGGGTTCGAATCTGATATCCTGGAATTCCCATCAGGTATCGATTTGGTTTTGAGATGAGCAGATCAGGTTTCATGCATGTCAATACCATTCTCGCCTTGCGATTCTTTTCCCAGGTTTCAGCAGAGAGGAGATCAATCGGGGGCTGCTAACCTTTCGCCAAGATCTATTCCTGCAACCGTCTGGGGCGAGCGGAGGAGGAAAATTACTCACGGCTCTTCCAGGAAAATAAAAGTTATAGGAATAATGATGCAAAAGAAAACTTCAGCGAATGAACTGTACATCGACGAGAAATCCCAGTACTGCTTGTTAGTCATTCTTAAGTAGAAATCAAAAAGGGAACTGCAATAAAAGTTGAAGGTAAAACTGAAGTGGTGATTGGAAAACATGTTTTAAAATCAATAAATATGCCCAATTGAACAACTGGGACTGGGCAGTGATTTAGATGAAAGAGCTTGTGTTTTCATTCTCTGCAATTTATGAAAAATCTTTCATCGATTGCTTATAAAGTGGGCTTCTCATTCTCCTGCCCTCCCCCCTTACAACCACATTTTATGGACAATTGCATACATGCTTACTGAAAATAGATTCAGAGAATGTATGAGTTGGAAAAGGCCCTAAAGGTCACTTCGTCCAATCCCCCAGTCACTGCAAGAATTTACTACACTATCTTTGCCACATCCAGCCCAAGTTTGACAACTACAAAGAGAGAAGTCCACCATTGTTCCACACAGACTTTTCCACTCTTTAATAGCACTTACCATCCTACCAATACTCAAACTGAATCTCCTTCCTTTTAATACCAACCCACTGATTCTTATCCTGTCCTCAGTTTCAACAGGAAGAAGTCCGCTCCTCTTGTGCATGATAGCTTCTCAGACTACTTATCTCGTTAGGCTTCTGTTTTGCAAGTTAAACATGCCAAACTTCTCTGTGCCTTATGGTTTCCAGTATCCTTGTCATCACTGTATCTGAACCCACTTCAGTTTTTCCATGTATCTTTCAATGTGTAGAATAGGGTAGTCTAATTTTTTTATATATATATTTCAGATTTGTCACTGCCCATCTCACTGTGGAGTGACTCTGGGCGGTTTACAGTAAAAGTAGAATAAACATTAATTAAAATAGATAAATATTAATTAAAGAGGCTGATGTTAATTAGGTGTCCAGCCATCCCCAGGGTACATTGTATCTTTCTTTGCCCCACACAAGTTGGCAGAGCCAAGTCTTCAATTCCCTCCGCAAAATTAGGAGGGTAGGGGCCTGCCTCACCTCTGGGGGGAGAGTATTCCATAGAAATATACAGTATTCCATAGTATATCTAATCAATACAGAGTAGATGGAATGATTGCCTCTTGTGACATTGATGCAGTTAATGTAACCTAAGGTGTCACTGGCCTTTTTAGCTGCTGCATCACACTGCCTGTTCATGTTTAGCTAATTCTTCTATGGCATTGTTGACAAGCCAGGAATCCCTAGTTCTCAACCTGAATATCTGATGTTACTATCCAGACACTAGACCATATGCATATCACAGTTGAACATCAATGTGCAACTTCGTAAGGATCAGTTTGAATTGTCTTTTATCCTTTGAACTGTTAGCCAATCACTGTAGCATGGTGTCATCAGCAAATTTGATAAGCATCTTTTTCATTTGATAGGTCATTTATAAAGCTGTTGAATAACATTGGGACAAGAATAGAACCCTGCATCAAGACTTCCTTCCAGGTTGATTCAAAACTATAAATAATCTTCATTGAACAGGATGGAACTGAATTTGGAATAAAATCAACGTCTAGAATCACACTGCATTGCAATTAATATTTTGCATCATTGATTTGCAAATTATTGTATTTCAGTTTTCATTTCACTTTTATCCTACCTTTTCTTTATAGAACTGAAGCAGTGTGTGTGCCAGATATTGCAGTCTTCATAGACTACTATTGTGTCACGTGCTTTGAGGCTCTAGCCAAGGATATACCAATGAATATATGAGAATAGAAAGGATAGGACAATTTCAACAAAAGAAACCTACCACTCCATCATCTTCCAAGTATCATCTATAGACAGTATTCCACATTAGAGTTCTTAAGATTTTGTACTTCATTAAACCACAGTATAAGAATTTAAAAATACTTGGACATCCATCCTATGATGATGGGAACTTTTATAGGTCTAGAGTTTATTGGAATTGTTTGCTTAAAATCTTTCCACATTTTCCTCCTGAATGATGGATTTAATTAATTGCTATATGAGATCCATTGTAATATAAGTAAAATTGGAAACATTAGCTACCTGAAAATTTGAAAAACAGAAGATCTGTATCTTAAAATCAATGATGACAAGACTTAGCCAACATTAATTAATCTCAGAAAGCTAAGTAAGGTTGGATCTATTTAGTTCTTGAAAGAAAAATGCTGTAGGATACACTGAGAAGTAAATGACCAAAAAAAAAAAAAAAACCCCAGGAGGAAGGCAATAACCATTTCTACATGGATGTGTCCATTAAGACATCGAGTCATGCTCAATTAGAAGACCTAGTATTCTCTAGACTCAGCCTTTTTAGTCTATTATGGTTTAAGATTGGAGGCACTTTCAAACTTGGCCCCTCGATAGATTCCCAAGTTTTTTTGGCTCTTGGGGATGGCATTCTATCATTCTGATTTAAGTGCAAGTGCCAAAAGGCTTGTTCAAATCCAGATTAATATTGGTGCCCCCATTTTAGGGGAATCTTCCTGAATCTGATGCTCTCCAGTTATATAACACTATAATCTCCAGCATCCCGATCCAGCATGCTGTATGTGGCATAGATCCTATCTCCTTCCAGCAAAAGGAAAAAAGTTCTTACAGTGGAACATATATGTTGATATTATTTTGTTTTTCCGGAAGCCTTTTTTCTCATCCTCAAATGTTATATGTTCATTTGCCAAATATAATTATATCCTGGCTTTTGGGGTTTCAATTTTGGCCTGCCTAACCATCTAATTTCTCTGACAAGGTTCTTTTTATGATGGAATTTCAACCAATTTTTCAAAGGCCTACTGAAATAAATAGAACAGTGGCAGTCTGTTGCAAATCTCTGTATATTTTGATCCTTTGGATTAAGGAGATGGAGAGCTACATAGGAAAATTAAGAATTGTCTCACTAATCCTAACCCTAAGAAATGACAACTTTTAATGAAAATGTTAAGGAAGAAATGGACATACATTCTCTCTTTCTGGCTAATAAACATAATATCTAGGACTGCACAAGTATGTAGTGGTTCAGCCAGAACTTGTGGCACACTGCAAACTATCATAATTTGGATTTCTCTGTGATGTGAAGGAGTTTAATATTTTTCCTATCTCTATGAGTAGTGGGTACCGATATCTCTTCACAACTATCTGCATGTTCATTACAATGATGCGCATTTTCTGGGAAGATCTATATAATTCAGGGCCCTTCTGATAAGAACACTGCAAGAGACAGTTGCTGGTTAAAATAATCTTTCCCTCTTATCAATGCTGCTGCTGCTTGTTTCCTATTCACAATGCTGTTCTCTCGTGAAGATCTGTTTTCCTCCACTTTGGTAAATAATACATGCATTATTTTGATGTTTTGCACAGTTCCTGGTTATTAAATGTTCACTAGAATTAGTAATCCAGTAATTTCATTTTACTAAGCAAGGAGTTATTCAGAAAGTCACATTCATCTTGAATCTTTGTCTTATAAAAAATGGGGCTGGGCAGGGAAAAACAGTTTAATGGCTCAGTAAGCACAGCAGGAGCATCAGGCCATTTCTTATACATAAGTTAACAGGATCAGGAGATAATTTTCCTGCAGAAAATGTTCCTTCCCACACATAAGCAATCCAGTTATTACTGGAATATAGCAAGGAAATACATCAAGTTGCAGTATACATAATTTTACAGAAAATGTACTTTCTGGTAACAACATGCTTATAGTTCTCTGTTCCTTGAGGAACATGAAGCTTTTAAAGAACCAAGAACGCAGGAGCTCTACTCCTGAGGGAATGGAAGTTGCTTGCAATTTGTAAGCCTGTAAGGACAATGTTCTCTCCCTGCCCGAATTATGTGGTGTTGAAGTAGTTTGTTCATCTAAAGCTCAATGAAGGTCATTCAATCTAAAGGTCATTTTTTTCAAAGGCACAAGAATTTATTTCTGTTCTCTTGAAAAATGTCATTACTTGAAAAAAGAAAAAGGGATGTGGGAAGTATCATTTTTTAAAAGTTTATTTCAGCCATAAGCCAGCATGAAGTATCTAAGGTGATTAAGTAGACTTTCAAAGAGGAGCAGCAGACTCAGATAAGAATGGCCCTGCACGAATTCCTCAAAAGAGTGGCAGTCAGTTCTGCACTCATAGCCTCCTGCTCAGAGGACAGTACCATGCCATCATTCTTTGAAGGAGAGAATGAAGAAGTCATCTAAGGCACAAAGCCAAAGCCAAACAAACCACATTATGGCTTAATGCAACATGAGCCTAGATTACATCTCCTGTTTCATAGAGACCCAAAACTGGGAAATCAGATGAGAGGTAGCTCCGGTAGAGATGATGGCTACCAAATAATTCAGCTGACTAGTAAGGCATCTTCCAGTTCTTTGGGGGAAAGAATTTCAGCTAGTAAAACTCACTTGGTGTAATCTTTGATATTAATATCTTATTTCCCATGGTGTTTAGTCTCTCAGATGGATATTTTTTAGCCTTTCTACCCTGGATTTTTCTACCTGGAAATGTTAAATAATAATTCTGAAGTATTTATGTGCCTAACATCCACAGTGCCACAAGTTTTTGCTTCTCTCTTTATCATCTTGTTTAGCTCTTCATACTTTACAGAAATGCTTAAGGAAGTGAATGATGAGTGAATATATGACACCCTTAATGGTGGTGCCTGGGAGTGCTGCGTTCCCATGGACAACTGCTTTGTTCAAGCTCCTTAGTTCACCTGGCCTTTATTTATAAAATTGCTCTACCACTATCATCTTTATTGTAAGAATGCTGATGGGCCCAGAACTTTGTCTGAAAGTTTGTTCACCTGCTCAGAAAAAAGGACAGAAGGAAGCAAGGGTAGTAGAGGACCTTCTGCACAAGGTAGGAGCTGAGGAAGTGGACTTCTGCTAAACCATTATACTGTAACTTGTTTATGCCCCAACAGCCATTTGGTGAATGAGCAGTTACACAGGCAGCCATTTTGCACAAGAATTTAAGACTCTAGAATATAAAAATTAGCTTTTATCATATAAAACCGTAGCATTTAATAATATAAATCATTTAAAACCTTATGATATGATATAAAACCGTGGCATTTATCAACAGTGTTTTGCAGGCAAGTTTTATCTACAAAATTCTTAACCACTGAAATGGCTTGAGAATTATTTAGGAACTTAAGGGAAAAAGCTAACAGTAGTTAATTCACTTTTTATTGGGTATGTCTGGCTAACGTAAAGCATAATGGTCTGATGTTTGTTATTAATGTAAAGATGACAGGCTTTATATAGAGAGAGTGCTTCTGATAATATTTATTTACTGGCACAATCATTTAAATTACTTTTTAACTGGGTTTTTTAACTGTTATTTATTGAAAATTAAGGAAAAAATGCATATTTATTTATACTAGAGTTGTTCATCATGCTTAATTCAAATGCAACGCTGGAGGGAATTCTGGGAATTTTAGTCAAAACATATCAAAAACTGAGGCAAACTCCAGGGAAGAATTGTTCCTATTGTGTTAAAATGGCTGAAACTCTTTCTACACAACAATGTAGTGCTGCACTTGTGAAAACCATTTGCTATGACAGTGAAGAAGCACTTCCTATGCCATTCAATTTGTCACTGTAATGTCAGAATTGGTTCTAATTCAGCTGAGTAGTGTGGAATAAATAGCTATTTAATTTTCACTAGAAATTGGAAAGATGGGTGAAGTTAAAGCTACCACAGTAATTCTAATGAGCATACCTTGAAGGATAGTTTAAACCTTGTTGTTCTCCCTCCATGAGATCCTATGTGTAAGAGAAGAGAATTGGTCTCTGGGTATCCTGGCCTTACCTACTGGTCCTACCCATGTTGGGTGACCACTAAAAAGTACCAGAGAGATCAATGGGTGTGTCCCCCAAAGGTTGTTACCCATCACTGGTCTAAATGAATGCACATATTCATGCCAGATTTGAAGCAGAAAAGATGATACAAAGTACCTCTTTCCACTCCTTAAAGAAGCTACATGTTTTGCTGGGTTCTGCAATCCCAGGAAAAGATGCATTTGATTTAAGGAGGCACCAACAGATGAGTATGTTCCAAATAGTTTTTTTTTCCCCTTTGACCCCTCTAGATCAACAGCCCTAATATAATCAGGAGCAGTTTACGTGCATTAGAATTTTGTATTGATTTACAAGGGGATACAGTGGCGCAGTGGCTTAATGACGCTGAAAGCTGCCGGCCAGAAATGGTCGACGCTTCAGTGGTTCGAGTCCAGCCTTCGCGTTAACAGGGTG